CAATGGTGACAGCGATGCGCAAAAGTATTAGGAAAGTACGTGTAACAAGGATCGTGCAGGGTGTTTCTGCATGCAATTGGATACTATAAAAACAACAGGCAAATCTTTATTTTTTCAAAAAAAAAAAGAAACTGAGTTATTTTTATTTTTATCTTTCTTCTTTTTTTTTTTTTTTATCTTCATCTTTATTTCTTGTTGCTTTATTGGTAACTGCTTGTCTTTTTTTTTTTTCTTTTTTATTGCTCTGATCGATAATGTTCGTTTTTTTTTACCAACCATCCATTACGTTTTAGCTGAATTGGTTTGGTAAGTTCATTAAGGAGACGAAAAAAAAAAAAAAACAGAATAAAAAAATATTTATTTATGTATATGTTTGTTTTTTTAGAGTGGGTTATGTTGAAGCGCTGTTTTTTGCCGTTAGTCGTTGTTGTTGTTAGAGTTCTGAATAAGGGATACGTTATATGATGAGTTGCTGTTTTCCTCACTACAACGATGATCTTTTTTCTTTTCTTTCAGAGACAAAAACAAAAAAAAAAGAAAAACAGCCAACTTTTAAATAAATGTTCAAATGCCTACAATTTTTACATTGTCGAAGAGAAGAAGTTCTCTCTGTTTTTTTTTTGCTTCTAATTTTTATTTATTAATTTAGTAGTTTGTTGGTTGGTCAGCAATTTAACATTGATAATGTGATTAGTATTATTGCTGTAATTATAATTAATGCTCTAGCGCTTTGCTAAAATTTTTGCTGTCATCTTTGCCACTGTTGCTACTATTGTTTTAAGTGGGTGGTTAAAATTGATAGAACGGTTCAGTAATTGTTATGGTTGTTTTTTTTTTTCTGGAATCAAGCCGTAGTAATTGAACATTGTCACATATGCTATTTTGAGAACACATTTTCATTACGGTAGTTTGTTGTTGCTGTTGTCGTTCGTTAGTCAGTTATGAAGGTGTTAAAATCAATTAAATTTAGTTGTCATTTTAGGGACTCAATTACACACTGGATTTCCTTAACAGTACCTGATGGCAGCGAAGTCGGAGTACGAGTACAAATGGGACGCAAAAGATGCAAAAACAAAGTAGGTATTTGTTGTCTATAATTCAGCTCAGAGGTTTCTTTGCCCTCCTCCACAACCATTGTCCAAACTCCCGACTTCCTTCATCCGCTCTTTATCTTTCCAAGTTTGATAGGTAGTAAATATGATTAAAAAAGGAAAAATAACAAAAGGAAAAAAATTTAGTGAATTTATATTTGATTTCCTTATGGTTCAGTTTTACTTCCAAATTTATTTTTTGCCATGCACTGGCCAAATAATCTTGTTGTTGGTTTTTCCATGCTTACTAGATTTTTGTATGTGTCAGTGTCTGTGTGCTACTACTGTGCTACTGACTGATACAGGAGATGCCGATAGTGATAATGATGGATAGCACAAGTTGACCAAAAAGAAAAGTTAGGAGGAGAAGGGAGAAAGAAAAAAATAAGGATTTCAGATAGACAAATGTTGGGGGTGGACTGGACTGAACTTTTTTTTTTTACATTCATAATCCCTTGCAGTTTTTTTCCACTCTAAGAGTCTTTTTTTTTTGTTGCTATTTGTTTAGATAATTTTTTTAAAGATATAATTTTTTTTTTTTTTTGCGGTTTTGACACACTCATCGTTGTTGTGGTTTGCTGTTTAAAAAGCAATTGCTTTTGGTTGGTTTGCTGTTGTTTTATAGCGGAAATGTTTCAACAAAAGCTTTTTCTTTACTTTAAAAAAAAAAAATATTAGCCACCAAAAAAAAAAAGTTCACAAATTCATTTTTTTTTGTGGCCATAAAAAATTTATTCTGCAAAACATTATTATTGGTATTTATCATTATTATTGCTATTTTGATCACCACTATTACTGCCGTTTGTAGAGAAGGGTAAAAGTGAGCCTAGTACTACCGATATTTCAATTTTTATCATTGCTTTTTTGCTTCCTTTTCCATTCTTTTGCATATTTTGAAATTACTTGAAAACAGATAGTGTTTGTTAGCACTGATCTGTTTCAAAAGAAAAAACTTTAATCCCTCCATATCGCTAACCTACCTCCGTTTTTTTCCTCTGAAAAAAAAAAAATCACTTCAAAAGTGTGTTACCGATAATCTTTATGGCAACAAAATAAATGGTGCCAAAAAAAAGCAAAGCAAAAATTGATTTTTAGTGCTTCCAAAAATTTTCAACAGAAAACTCTTATTATTTGACATTATTATATTCGTTAGCAACAATCACTGTTAACAACTGTTTTTTGGTTGCTTATAAGCATTTTTAAGCTTAAACTTGAACTGCAGCACTAAACAGCATCACTAATTCAACAACCAAAAGGATAATTTTATTAATAAAGATTGCAAGAGCAGAGAAGAAGAAAATGAGATTTCCCCTTCCCATTCGCCTTCGCCACTGTGCAGTATAATTGCAAGCAAAAATATGAGCTTTCAGTGACGATATCTGTCGTTAAAAAAGTTGTTTGACAGAATAATTTATTTTACAAAAAAACTTCTCCTTCCAATTGGTAGATTTTTGCCCATACAAACAAACCGAATTTTTAGACCTAATCGAAGTACAACTGCCATCATCCGGTGAGCAAACCGGACTAAACTAGAGCAGTCAAGACTGTCACTGCCACATCTTGGTGACACTGAACGTTTGATTCTTACTTTCTTTCCCCCTATCCCCGTTTTAAAAGTGACACTAGCTTTCAGTTATCTGCACTGGAATCTCAATTACAGGCCCTATTAGCCAATACGACTAAGTCGTCGATTTAACCACTTTAGTGGCACTCTCACAGAACATCATCTTTACTGTGTACCTTTGCTTCTTCAAAATTTTCGTATCTTTTTGACCTTGAATTCCTGTTTTCTTCTTATTGATGATACATCTCCCAAACGAATTTTTGTCGTAATAAGATTATTAGTAGCAAACGCGATGTCAGCTGAGCAAAATGGGTATTCTGTAGTAGCTTAAAGTTTGGACAAGAGCAAAAAATTTGAGATAGAATCTTGGTTTTGATCAGAACAGATGGCTGCTGATTGTCAACAATAACTTTACCATGATAAGGCTGCTGATAAGTGGGGGGTAAAGGGAAGGAGAAAAGGGAATAAAGTAATTTTTTTTTTTTTTTTTTT